AAAAAAAATCAAACGTAAAAATCAAGCAAGTCTCCAGATTATATGCAGGCCAGAATCGGTCTCCACGATATCGCTCATCTCACCAATGTCAAGGGCGAATGAAGCATCTTCAAATGGCTTCTGCATTTGACGTCGACCAAACATTCCTCAATAGTAAATGTAAGGAAAGCACATTTTACGCTGAGATATTTTCCCAAGCAAGTGGAATTGCATCTTGCAAGAAATATCTACAAAATTATTACTACTATTCCTTATCACCTAGGCAAATGGAAGTATTAGCAAAAGTAATGCAGAAGTTCTGTATTCAAAATTCTTGGAGGATCCAGAGAACAATCTCTCTTCAACCTCCGTACAGTGAAGACACAGCGGTTATCACTTGCGGTTTTTCCAAAAAGTATACTTTCTCAGCAATTCGAAGAGGAAAAATGGCCAAGTGAAAACGAAATGAAAGTGATGAAAAACAATTAAAATAAAAGCTTACCAAGGTCTCCTCCTCGTTTTGCTGAACTACAATCGCTATACTGTTGCGCTAGCTTTCGGAATGTTGCCTCAGGATTATCAGAGTTACGGATTTGCTTGATGTAATTTTCCAGAATATTTCGCGCATCCTCCTTACTTCGAGTGATTTTGTCCTGGCGCCAACTAGACGGACGGCGACTACCCGCATGCTTGACAAGAAGATGAGCAGCTCTCACTTGCGTGAGGTCCGAACCTTTTCCAAAAGCTGCCTCTGTCGGTCGTTCCCATTGACTTCTACCGGTTGCTTGATTGTAATAATACTCTTGATTGTTAGTGCGACTCATACGTTTTTCCCATCCGGCAGGAAGTGGCTGCTCCGGTTCATGATCCGACATTCAGTATCTGAAACACATCAAATATAGATTGTAGGAAGTCTGCAAGCATTTGTTGCAGAGTGTCACGATTTACAAATACAACAAAGATCAAGACGGATATATAATTGCGGCTGATCAAACCACGCATTTAAGAAATTTTTCTTATTCAAAAGGGGCGGTACAAAGCGCAAGAGAACCTAAACATAGCCTCTTCTAATTTTTCAAGAGGTTCATTATAGATGAGGTGACTTATAGTGAAGCAACGTACGAAGGCGCGGGACACAAAAGCTTGCCTACGCGCCGCTCTTAGCATCGGAGCGCGCAAGGCAGATGGTGTGTTCGTTCCTGGCGCTTATTTAGGCTGCCGTCATATTGAGCTGGAAGTTCGGGAACAGCGCTCAGTTTGAGCGCTGTGCTGGACTGTTCCCGAACTTGCGGCTCGGTATAACGGCAGACTTAGAAAACTTTGACGAGCGCACTACGCGCTGAGTTGGCAATATTGGTTGCTTTGTAGCACGTGGCTTTTGATGAGCATATGATGTGGAGAGAATTGAGTCAGTCGCAATGCCATCGTTGCTGTGGGGCGCTATACTCGTCGCCTAATTTCACTGGAACATACCAAATTGCACTGACTTTTCAATGTGTAACGTATGCTTTGATAACGGTAATCAAAAATCTCTCTTTTTCCTGCTACGCGTCCCTGCTGAACGAGAGTCAAGCTTCATCTCGCTATCTACACATAGAGAAATTGCGGCAGCAACCGCAAGTGCTCAAATGGACTAGTACTGATTGTGATGATTTAGAGATTGTACTCTAACAGTTTTTGTGCAACAACTTCAATATTCGCAGATGGCTTACAATTAGAGCAATAAATCTCAAAACTGTGTCCCTCGTTGTGTTTAAAAAGGACTTTAAAAGAGCTCGTGCCATTTCCGCGATTTGCAAGTGCATTTCGAGTTCAGCGTAACAGTCAAGCTCAAGCAAGCAAATAGTCCAGACTTCAAGGGTTTGGCGAGCCTCTACCTTTGGATGGCTTATCCAAGCAAACGAATACTTCGCAAGTCCATAATATAGGCCAGTTTTTGACATTCGGACTCCAAGTCAACGATTCTAATCTAACGTTTACGGGCTTGAAAATGATGACAATCTCAAGCTCAAAATTTCTGATAGCTCGACCACAGTCTGATAGACTCTAGATGGGTAGCGGAACGGGCAAACGAATCTTGCAAATGTAGGCGATGGTCACACTACCCAACATTGCAAAATGGGCGACTACTACAGCTGAGGCGAACCGCCTTTGCACTTGTCCCGCTTACAGAAAAACCAAAAAGAGAAGTTTTTCATAGAGTAAACTTTCCTGCAATACACATTTGAGGGCCATGGATCTGGATATATAGGAAAACCGTATCAAAGTTTGCGCTTGTTCGAGCGAAATAAGAGGAGTTTGAGGGCATACTGTACGCGGATTATGGCGAATCATCGCACGCAAAGACGCAAAGACTATACGTCACTACGGACGCTGTCGGTGTCTCGCTGATTAAGCCCTCTTTCATCCCTCTTACCGCCTCTGTCTCTCCCACGCACGAACTATCTTAGCCGGACGCAATGCGTCCAGTCTGCCTGCAATGAATAGCCTATACTTGCCAAACTGCAGTTTGGCAGTGAGCGCTGTGAGCGTACATGTACGCTCACTGCGGTTTTATAATCCACGCCAATAATGATGCTTTTTTACAGAAGACGCCGGAGGCCCAAATTTGTTTTAGAGCGGAGGACCTCTCCTACCCTCGCCCCTGACCCCCCTCCCCCGCCCCCCTCCCTTCCATACCCCGGCAATCGTTACTTACGTTAGCGGCAAATGCTCACTAAATGGAATTTCGGCAGGTCCTGGCCGGGTTGTCTTCTAAGCTTTGCAAAACGAAGTGCCGTTGAAGGAATCAATGAAATCACTTTCAAGATTTCCTTTTGTCCGCTTCCTGATCGAATTCTTTCAGTGGAAAGCAGCCACCTATAGAAACATTTTTGAAACGTGGTAAACGGTAGTTCTATGAACTGAAATGTTATAAAAACCATGACTCGGTCACAATCGCGAGATAGATGATGTATGCTAACGACAACAAGGTGAGACCAAGATCTTCTGTTGTACTGGGGTGTGCTTACGATTTGCCAAAGCTAGTTTAAAGGTAGCGTCCGGGCAGATACGAAATTGTAGAATACAGGGGCGCTCCTCCTGGTAAGGCGCTTGCCCAACTGGCAATGCACCAACTTTCTTGTGAAGTGAGAAAAGCTTCAGAAGTGGCGACCTGAACGCCCTGGCGAACTGCCCGCACCTTCATTCGATAGCCACAGTACGCATGTAGCACAAAGTCAAGACGTATGGTTCCCACAACGACTCTGCGTCTCTACCTTGGCGGCGAACGTCAAAATTTAGATGAAGGGCTTCTGGAAAAGCCCGTCTTCGTCGTTTTCGTACTCTTTAAGCTGCATTTTTGAACAGCGGGAAGGATAAGCCCAGGTGCCTCTAAGATTTAGATGAAGGAAAAGTCCGCTCGAAACCAAGCTCCTCACTGAAGGGTACATTTTCGACCGAACTGATTAAGAGAGGACAGGCAAAATGGACCCTTCTCAGATTTTGGCGGA